CACACACACACACACACACACACACACACACACACACACACACACACACACACACACACACACACACACACACTCAGATATATGCACAAGCCATGCACACACAAGCGCACGGGGTGCGCACAAACACACACACACACACACACACACACACACACACACACACACACACATGAATAATAGAAGAGAACAATAGCCATACGTACACGTGGAAGACAGGCGAGCACTAGATGCGAGCGCGATCAGAGGTTGGGAGTTCGTTTGCGGCTGTACACGCTTTGCCGACTCAAGATGAACTTGGATTACAGTGCAGGGTGTAAAGATCTCTCCAAGATACGGCCTTGAGGGCCCTCTGAAGAATTGAGGAGGAGAGCTCTACGAGACCAGATCCTGAGCGGCAAAAGGGCCATAACGGAAGACACAAAACGGTGGATTACTACGCGGATGTCCGTGATCGGCCCCTGTTGGATGACATGGACTCCCTCCATGTTCGCAAGATTGCGCGGAGCTGCGGCAGTTTGACGCCATCGCCAAATCCGAAGCTGTCGAACGACGCTAGCGCTTCCGGGAACTCTCCCCTCGCTGTCAGCTTCGTCTTCACGATGACCGTCGGTATCCCGGCTGCCAGTCCGGCTTCCAATCCCAACTTGCTACCGGCAAGCAACACGCAATTCTCCCGCGGAACACCGAGGAGTTCCACAGCGGTGAGCAGCCCCGCCACTTGTACAGAGCTTGCCCCACCTCCGCCAGCCACAGTCCGCGCCTCCCCTCCGCCTCCTCCTCCTCCTCCCGCCCCGCCTCTCTCTCCCTCTCCCTCTCCCTCTCCCTCTCCCTCTCCTTCCCCTTCCCCGTCCATCGCCGCCAGCGCTCCTCCCGTCTCGATCCCGACGCTTACGCTTAAGATCGCCGCGATTTCCGACGCGACTCTCTGTTTCTCCGCCAACACTGCTTTCTGCGCGAGACTGGCCAGCGCGTCCTGCGCAGGGGACGTTATCCCCCCGCTGGACACTGCCACCTGAGTGTACGCACTGCCCGCCACCTCCTCCTCCCCTACCACTATCAACTTCTCCACCGTATCTTCTCGCAGCTTCCCCATCAAGGACGATGCAATCACCTCTCCCGATCTGTTTCCCGCCTTAATCACGGCCACGGGCACCCCGGAGGCCTTCGCCTCGTCGATGAAATCCTCCACCCCCGGTCGGAGGGGAATCGAACCCGTGACACCAATCTCCTCAAACTTGGACTGCTTCAACATCAGTACTTTCTTCACGAAAATATCCTTATCCTTAGTCGCTACGGACATCGGCCAGCCAATCCGATCAAAGAAGGCACGGACCATCAAGCTCTCATCCCCACCACATCGAAGTACCAGGTCAGCATACACCTTATCGGCCCACGTGGCACATTCTAATCCCAGCAAGGCGAACGCGTCATTGAAGGCCTGCCGATGACCCATCTCGTGCACATCCGCCAGAACACCGTCGATTTCCAACAGGATCGCAAGGTCACCCCCGCTGCTGGTGCCCGAGGACGATTCTCGGTCCCTCCATGCCTTCTCCTCTCCATCATCGAAGGACTCAGGTGTCGGTCTTTCCCCATCTCCGGCTGCAGCAGCTGCAATCCAACCTCTCCCCGTCCTTACCCCACTCCCCCTACCCTTTGCCGCGACCGCCGGTCCAATCTGACACCATGATGGCAGAGATCCCGACCCAATTGCCTTCCCGCCACCCAATCGCCCAATCAACGTCTGAGATCCCGACGCCGCCTCCCTGCGGTCGATCTTCACGTTCTTACCTCTCCGGTATACACAGTCTATCCACCCCTCTCTCACTCCTCCTCCTCCTCCTCCTGCTCCTCCTCGTTGCTGCAAGTGTCTGCTGTAGCCCAGTCTTACAGCAAGTACCACCTTTCCCAACCTTTTCTTCCTTCTCCTTAGGTGGCGGCAACTGACACACTCACCAGCAGTGGACTGCACGACCGGTCGCACGTCCCTCGACCGGGCGGGGGGTCGCAGTTCCGTTCGGAGGGACGCAAGTCGTCCGTCGTTTGTCCATTGGCTGATGAGCACCCTAGACGAACGTGGAAGATCGGCGATGGCGGCCGAAGCTGATGAAGTACGTTCTATTGCTTGCCTGCTTCCCAGGAGAGTCCGCACGGTCGCCGACTGAACTCCCGCCATCACCTCCACCTCCTGCCGTTTCCCGCGACCACCCTCAGCTTGCTTTTGCTTTTGCTATTGCTCTCTTCCCGCTCGATCGCATGTCTCCCCGTGAAAAGCGATAACACCAGGTGCGACGGATGATGTGCAGCCACGTTTTTTGGACGAACTTGGCGGGAAAAGGGAAAACAACAGGTGCGACGGAGGATGTGCGGCCACGGTTTTTGGGCGACGGACGATGCTCGCTTCCCGCGCGCTCGGTTCGGCTAGACAAGCCTCGGTTCCTCCTGCCCTTCGCTTGAATTTTCGGCTACAGCTACCGGTCGGTGGCTCGCCGGCGGTACGTCATCCAATCCAACGCTTGAATTTTCGGCTACAGCTACCGGTCGGTGGCTCGCCGGCGGCACGTCATCCAATCCAAACTGACGTTGCACCATCGTCCCGCTTCTCTAGACAAGGCCAGCGCTTGCGTTTCGGTTTCGGTTTCGGTTTCGGAATGGCGCCAATATTTCGGTTTCGGTATGGCGTCAACATTTAGAGCCAGAAGGTGCCATCGCCATGCCTCTCCAGACAAGGGGCCTTGTCTCCCTCCACTACCCTCGAAATGTGCAAAACGAGAGAGCATCTTCCGCTAGAATATGGAAAGATACTTCGCCATGATTTTTGTCGTTTGTGCATTTTGTCGTTTGTGCATGTCGAGAGTATGGCGCCTCGCTGCACTACTGTCGAAATGTGCAAAACGAGCGCGAATCTTCCGCTAGAATATGGAAAGATGCACCTCCATGATTTTTGTCTTTTGTGCAGGTCGAGAGTAGTGCAGCGAGGCCCATAGATGGTCATCGTATGAATGAATCCGGGGGCCAAGTCCCACTAGCAGCGTTGATCTACCTCAACGCCTGAATCTGGACGTCTTTTGTGGAGACGTGCAGTTCCGGAAACTCAACACCATTTCTGCACATTTCCGCAAAAGCGTCCAGATTCCGGCGTTCAGGTAGCTCAACCCTGCTAGTGGGACTTGAGCCCGGCAGACTCTCGGCCGATGTGGCTGAACAATTCTTTTTTTTTTTCTGTTTTTTTTTTTTTTTTTTTCTTTTTTCTTTTTTTTTGCCGAACAATTCGCACACGTGCCTGCTGTTAAACAGGTCACGCTTCGAATAGCACTCTAATCAGATGAGTAAGTGATGCTGGGAGCTGTAACTCATTTTGGCGGGAAAAGAGAGGAAAGGGCCTCGCTCCACTACACAAACACTCTACATGCATTTTTTGGCGGGATTCCTACGCCAGGTGCGTCCGGACGTGTCCAACATTTTTTTTTTTGAATGTATCTGGTGGTGGACAACGCGTCCACGTGCATGTGGAGTGTTGTGTCGTGGAAACGAGGCCCGAACAATTGTCCCCCCGTCGGAAGAGAAAAGAGTCACAGTCACAGGACGCTATCATTCAGTGGCGCCCGCCCGCCCCCCAAAGAAAAGAAAAAGAGAGAAGTGGCGGTACGTTCTCAACGGCAAAGCTGGAGCCACATGTCCGCCAGAGGGTCGACGTTTCGGGGACCACGGCAGCGTAATGGAAGTCTCTGCTCATCATCCAGGTTCAGCGAGTCGTTTCCTTTTTTTTTTTTCTCTCTCTTCTTCTTCTTCCTACCTCCTCGTTTCTCCCTGTGAGGGGCAACTCAAACGGCCAGCCTCTCACAGTCCTGTCTCTTATACACATCTAGATGTGTATAAGAGACAGGTCTCTAACCGCGCAGCCAACCTCATGGTACTTCCATAGATCTAATAAGCAAAATCGGATGAATCTACCACCAAAACATGGAAATGTACACTGCCACTCTTTTTTTTTCCTTTTTTTTTTTTTGAAGGGGGGGGGGGGGGGGGGGGGGGGGGGGGGAGGGGAGGGAACTCGTCTGTATTTGTAGATACAGGAGAGTGTACGACCTACCTACTGAACAGATCCTGTTCAAGTACAGTCGTGCACATGGCAGCATTATGAAAATGTGGTGATACTTCCCCCCCCCAAAAAACAAAGGTGGTACCTTTGGATTTGGCAGAAAAAGAGAAAAAGGGCCTCGCCACACCAGTCTCGAAATGTGAAAAAGACAAAATTGTGGAGGATGCATGTGGCCACGTTGTAGCAGGAAGTTCGTTGTCATTTTGCACATTTCCAGAGTGGTGTGGGGATGCCCAAAGGTGGTGATGCCTGGGCTAAGATCAGGGCCCGCAATGATAAGCATATAGTAGTGTGAAAAGATGAAATGATAAGCAGAAGCATGAAAAGATGAAATGAATGAGCCGCTCCACAACAAGAAAGACATTGAACCTTTTTTTTTTTTTTTTTTTTTTTTTAAAGAAAGACATTGAACTGATCGGGCCCAGACAGATAATTCAGATTTAGATTCAGATTCAGAATGATTTTAATTTGGTTATCTGATCTGATTATGTCTGTGGATTCTAACCTGGGTCTGCATTCAACAGTTCGTCGGTGTACCAACTGAGAGCATACTCACACTGGGGCAAGGTCCCACTTGCACGGATTAAGAGATTCTGGCCGTTGATCTTTGCTATCTACGGTCGATATCGCTTAATTCGTGTAAGTGGGACCTAGCCCCTGGGCAGGCAAAATCCTAGAAACGCAAAATCGGCGGCCTGATGGAGCCATTCTGAAGGAGAACTCCATCTGGCCGCTCATTTTGCGATTCGGCGATTCTGAGCGCCTACCAGTAGTGTGAGTATAGCATAAGCTGGGCCCTTCGGCACACACCTCCCCCTGTGAGATTCTTTCTTTTTTTTTCTTGGAGGAAGCACTTGAGGGGGTGATAAGAGCAGCGGCCCTCTCAAGTGGACCTTCAGGTGACGGCTCCGTCTATTGGTGGGGAGCTGCACCTGCTGGGAACCGGGCCCAAGGTCCCAGATATTACGATACAATGCTGCTCCAGCTGGAAACCGGGTCCGGCGTCCCGTACATTGCAATGCAAAGGTAGGCTTAGTAATTCGGGGCCTGGCCGACGTACTGAAAAAAAAAAAAAAAAAAAAAAAAACATTGCCAACTGCAACTGCTTCCTATGCTCTGCCACCATCCTAAGCCAGTGTTCTGTTCTCCCACTTGGCTGCTTACATTGTTGTTGCTGTCTGTGTACTCCTGGCGAGGGGCTCCTGCTACGACCTTCCCCTGTTCTGAGTAGGCTTCCACTCATCCCTCCATATCTGGACCAACAATCCTTTTCCTTTCTCTCCCTTGTCCGCGTAGGGCTTGTCATACCTCGGTGGGTATTGTATGTGTGGTAGGGGCTTCTAATATTGTTGATTACGGTCTACTACCGACCCACCAGGCTTGTCTCAAGCTGTGGTTGTTCCTGCTACACCCTTTTCTGCTGGGGAGGGCAAGATTCACCTGAGTGCAGCCCCTGTACTGAGTCAGTTTCTCTGGTCATCCGCTTGCCATGCGCAGGCTGTCAATCCTTTTTTTCTCGCTTTCTCACATCCCACTTGTACTGGTTTGGTAGTGACTGACCATATTCCCTTCCCTACCTTCCCTGGCTTGTCATCGGTACAGTGTCACGAGGGCCCCGTCCGGCTGACCGGAAGGGGAATCCAGGGTCATGAGGAAGTGGGCGGTGTAGGAG